GCCCGGTTTCCTGGGCAGGGCGCCCCCCCGGAGGGAGCTGGCGGGGCAGCGGGGGGTGGTGAACAGCCAGAAGTGCGTGCGTGCGGGAGGGAAGCACAACGACTTGGAGGATGTGGGTCGAGATACTCACCATCACACCTTCTTCGAGATGCTGGGGAACTGGTCCTTTGGGGATTACTTTAAGGTGAGGCAATAGGAGTGAGCCTTTTCCAGGGGGAAATGCTGCCTTTCTTTCAGAGCTGTGCCATAGTTCTGTGCTCTGGTGCCATAGGACTGTCTGCAGAAGGCATTTTGGTAAGCTCCAAATTATGTCCTGGAAGCTCTGTGGCCCGGAGCAGAGGTAGTCAGCTGGTGTGCTGAATCACTAAATGTGCCCCGCAGACTCACAGAAGTGTTCAAAGCTGTGAACCACAGGTAGGAGTCAAAGTTCTTTGTGTGGATGCCAGTGTCAACCATTTAGTATGGTGAAGAGAGGTTTCCAGTTCATTTGATGCTTGTTACTAGAAAGTTTTAAAAGGGAAGAAGGGTAAAAGATGCTAGTTGTTTTGCTAGTGAATACATTTTTTTCCTTGGAAAGGAAATAATCTGTGTAGCTCTGCTTGTAAGCATGTGTAGCATAGTAGACCATGCTGTGAGCCTGAGAGTCTCCCAACAATTTAGGAGTGTCAGTTTTCCACAGCAGCAGTGAGCTGTTCCACTCGCCTGATCCTTGTCCTGCTCTTTGTAATGCACCTTAAAACTGGAAAGGGAGAGAGCAGCTGAAATGAACTTCTTTGGTATTTGATTCCCATTCTAAGGAGCCTTCCTGCATTGCTCTGCATCCTGGATTACTGTGTTTTGTTTATTTTCCTGCCTGTTCAGGAGGAAGCGTGTAGCATGGCCTGGGAGCTCTTGACAGAAGTCTACGAGATCCCCAGAGATCGTCTCTATGTCACCTATTTTGGCGGAGACGCCTCCCTGGGGCTGAGCGCAGATGAGGAGTGCAGGGACGTATGGCTCCGGCTGGGGTAAGTGTTAGAGAAGAGGTGCTGACATTTCACTCTCCATTGTCTCCCATTTGCTTTTTAGTTGATGGGAATCAGACGTAGGGACTAAAAGTTGTGTTTTAAACTCATTTAATTTCTGGTCTGTTTGAGCTGCTAACAGTCAGCTGGGCTCCGAGTGCTCTGGGGCGCTTGACCTTTAAGCTGTTTCTCAATCTGGGGGGCTCTGTGCCTAAGATTGGCTGGCCTGGATGAAACGTGTGAAGGTTCTTTTACTTCCTCTCCCTCATGGGCTGTGGAGAGCAGAATCATAGAATGCTGTGGGTTGGAAGGGACCTTTAGATGGGACTAGAGGCCATCTAGTCCAACCCCCCTGCAATGAGCAGGGACATCTTCAACTAGATCAGGTTGCTCAGAGCCCTGTCCAACCTGGACTTGAATGTTTCCAGGGACAGGTGATTCAAAGATCCGGTAGGAAAAACCTAACAGTACAACGCATACTGTTAAGCAGATACTCTTTATTGCAGCGCCGGGCACACGGGGGATTTCTCCTAC